GTTCACCTGGAGTCCTGTCTTTGCTGCTCCTTCGACCAGTTTGTCGGTTTTCGCTTGTAAGTCTTCGATTTTGTGTGACATCAAACATAAATCATCCGCAAAATCCAGGTCTTCTAGGTTCTTCACGTCGGTCGGTCCAGGATATCCCTGTCTTCTCGTTTCCCACTGTCTGACGCATAATCCAGTCCACCACAATTAGGAATATCATTGGTGATAATAAGCACCCTTGTCTGACTCCTGTGTTTACTCCAAACGCTTCGCTGAGTTTTCCGTTGTGGATCACTTGACATGTGCCAAGTGATTATCTTATTATCCTTATTTTTTGTTTTGGTATGACTTTCTTACTTCAGTCCTTATGACAGGACTGATTCATGTTGATAGACCAAATGTATGTTAGAATTGTAATATAACTTGTTTTAACGAATATTAAACAGGTTGTAAGCAGCTGATGAGAATCGAAGAAATAAAATAGAAGCATATTATTTTGCACCAATTTCATTTTTTTTCTATTTCCCTCTAAATGTGTAAAGGTGAACTCGTGATTGTTGCCTTTTTCATGATATAACAATAAGGTAATCGACGTTTCAGCTCTAGAAAAAGAGTAGCATCACTAAAACACTGTTTGCCGAAGCAACAGTCTCTACCAAACTCCTGAAACCTGATTTATGTGTGTGTTCAGAAAGAAGCAGTTATCAGTCTTTCCTTGCCTATCCACGTAACTGGTTGTCTTTATTCTCTTTTTCATTTGACTACGTAATCTTTTGGTTTTAACCTCACCTTCCTCCTTTGATATAGTGTAATTTTACTCGTCTGTTTTCTCTATGATTTGAGTTGAACTCAGTATATTGTTAATTAATTTATAAGTCACTCAGCATCTTACATACCTCTCGTCTTTATTACGCAACTCCTCGACGATTGTATCCATACATTTATTATTATTATTGTTTCCTTAGTTCCTAGAGGAACATAGGGCTACAGCTGCTCGTCTCGATGGCGTTCGGTTCTCTGCCAACATTTTCGCCTGGCTTCAAGTCTGCTCACATGCTTTCATCTCCTCTTTACATATCCTCCTCCTCCTCCATGTCATCCTCGCACTGACGACCAACCCGCCGTTTCCCACACCAGCGATGGACTGGCGTGTGACGTCACTTGATAATTCGTTTTCTCAGAGTATGGCCACTCCACCTAACTCGATTTCTTCCTGCATATTTCTTGCACAATCGGTTCCTACTAGGATGGTTCGTTCATTCCTAGAGATCCCTATTGCTGATCTTTTCTGGCCGGCCATCTGGTATTGAGTGGTATTGAGAGAAGACAGCTGTTGATGAAGGTCTGCAGTTTTTTTCGAAGTGCCCTTCGTGACCCGGCGCGGCGCCAAGTCTCTGATCCGTGGGGAGTAGCACTGACTGACTTTACATTGGAATTGAAAATCCAGATGTTATTTTTCATTCTGAGTGCTGTTGATCTCCATACAGACTTGGTGAGAGTAATGAAAGCTTTCCTTGCTTTCTCGATCCTCGCTTCTTTGATATCCTTATCAGTTCCATCCGCCTGTAGTTGAAACCATGCTTCCTGGGTTGGTAGGTACGTAGAGGAGGTCGCTTCTTTCAGATTTAGTTTCTCCCATTTATACTGGCTGATTCTTGTCTGTTGTTGTTGCTGTTGCTGTTGGCCAGGAATCTTCATCACCACATCTGTTTTCTCTATGTTCACCTGAAGTGAACTCCTATCTTTGATGTTTCTTCTGCCAACTTGTTGTTTTTCACTTGCATATCTTCCAGTTTGTGGGAAATCACACATATATCATCATCGACGAAATCCAGATCCTCCAAGGATTTTGTGTGGGTCCATTTTATGCCTGTCTCCTCGTCGCCTGCCGTTCTACCGTTCTCAATCAGGAAAATCATTGGAGACTTTAGACAGCCAGCTTGTCTTACTCCCGTCTTCACTTCTTCAAAGGATTCCGTGAGTTTCCGGTTGTGGATTACTTGACATGCAGCATTGTCGTACAACTGTTGGATGGTTGAGGTGTATAATTGTTGGTGGCACCCATTGGTAGTAGCGAAGTAGTTTCCAAATCACCTGTCGATTGATGCTGCACTATCGAGGACCTTTTCGAAGTCGATGAAGTGGAGTGAGGTAGAGAGCTGACTGCCATTCCGAGGTCTGTTCAATGATGATCCGTAGATTTGCGATTTGATCGATGCATGACTTGTTCCTCCTGGAACAAGTCCACATACATACACTTACTTTGTTCAAACTTGAACTGGCTGTGTAAACGCTATATAATCGTAAATTTCTGAGCACTGTTCACTAAGTACAAATGATTATTGTGCACTGGGTCTTGCTGTAGGTCACACAGAGAGAATAGGTGGGAATAAAGTGGGCCGTTTAGAAGACTCTAAAAGATCTGGACTCCGCGAATGATTTTTATGTATTGTCACAGGAACTTCAAGACCAACAAGTCGGTAGAAGAGGTAGGCAGTAAGGACAGGATTTATAGTGAACATAGGGAAGACGGAGGGGATGAAGATAACCAACCAACAACAAGCGATTATTACCATCAACGGGTATTATTTGAACAGGGTCACTTATTTCACTTACCTTGGCGACATCCTTTCAACCACAGTCAGTCGGCATGGATAACGATGTTAAAGCCAACCAGGACTTAAAATCAAGACAGACGTCATTTAGTCGGAAACCAGTGTGGAAATTTACTGCAATCAGAACAGAGAACAAAATTCAGATTTTCAACACCCATGTCAAGTTATTATTTTCGTATGATTCAGAGGCTTTTGTATCAGGAAAAACATTTCAGAAAGCCTCCTGTGGATTTTTATAAACAGCTATCCACTTTGTTCCATAATAGAGACCAGATAACCAGAGAGGATTAGCAACGAGGATCTCTGGTAACTAACCAAATTACAATCTATTGCCCATTGAATATGCTGACTGTGCAGATACACACACAACACAAACTGAGAGTTATAACTGAGTTTGTATAGTTAAATTAATGAATTCCCTTGAAAAGAGACTCTTCACCGAACTGTTTCTTCTTATTTCCATATCTGAATGGAATTCAAAAGTTTCTTAGACGAGCACACTCTCTGATGTTAACGAATGAGAAAAAAGGAAAAGAAGAAGAAATATCAAACATTACTGAAACTCTCAAGCAAAACAACTACCCAAGGAACTTCATCAACAAAATCAACACTGACATTAAGTATGGGTGAAAACGTATTCCGAAAACATGGATCTCAACAGTTGTCATTCCATATACAGAGGAGACGTCAGACGATATCAGAAGAGTACTCAATAAGCTCGATATTCGAGTTTTCTTCAAAACATCAGACACACCACGAAACAGCGTTGTCCATATAAAAGATCAAATCCCTAACGATTCTCTATCTAATTGTGTCTATAAAATAAAATGCTTGCTTGGAAAGTGATGCAATATACAATTGGATAAACATCTCGAGAAATCAAAATCAGAAAAAATGAACACCGTAGAGCATCTGATCGACCACCAAGAAATCCAATTGAACTGGAAAAACTTGAGAAATCATCAGCCATAGGTCTACATGCTATGGATTCAGGTCACAAAACTGATTTTGACAATATTGAAATCATCATCCAGAAAAGCATTTCAGAAATCACAAAGAGCGTCTAATATCATCAGAAGCACTTCATGTCAAATGGAATCCGAATTTTCCGAATACGAATGATGGACTAAAACAGAATTTAACCTGGTTACAACACCCCTCCCCGCCCCATGAAATGACAAAATCAACACGAATGTGATAAGCAAGTTCACTATGTAAATACACACTGCCTTTATAATTTTAAACACTGGTTAAATCAACAATCTACACTTGATTTTGTTATCTTTACCAATTGGCCAACTTGACAACGCGAAAATGCCCCCAGACTGACGAACGATGATCAAGTTAGTAAACTTTATTTTGGTATCATAATAGACGTACTATTACTTTTGTTATTTGGTTTAGTGATCTTCATCGCTATTTGACTTTCAATATGTCCCTTTAACTTGACCTATGTCTATTTTCTCACCCCCTAACTGTTTGTTATATATATGCTGAGATTTTGTAAATTCTGGTTTAATAATACTTTGATAAAGCTATTAGCAACAGCATTAAATGGCGAAACGTCAGTAAAACCAGCAATATCGTTTTGTTTTTCATTCATTCATTGGGAAATACAAAATCCTTTATTATTTTCCATGAAGTATATTTATAGATATTTTTATTAAATGTATGTCTATATCGGAGAAACAAAAGAAATGAGATGAAATACAGTATTACAGATAGAATGCAAACAATATTGATACCTTCACTATTTAACAAGAAAGAAAGATGGGAACCAAAACTATAAACGCTATTTTTGTATGTGATCCATTTGTTTTTGTAAAAAGAAAATGTCCATCGTCTGTGTTTCCTTTGTATTAAAAATCACAGATGTTTCTCTATATATATTTTTTCATTTGTGTTTACAAATTTATTCTTTTCTCACAACTTTCTAACGATTTAACACAAAAACACCACGTGCTTAAAAACAAATATATTCTAAGTAGTGCCGATGATTAAAAAGGCCGCCATTAATAAATTTGCACTTTCCGCCGCTCGTTCAATGGTGTCCAATAGTTTTTTAATTTCATTGTATATGGCATTTTACGCAATTGTTTAAAATATACATGTCAGTTATGAAGCTATATTATCCTTTTTTTTAAAAACAGTATTTTAAATGTTGTACAATATTGTACAGGTAATTTATACTTTTTCTTAGAGGTAGAAATTTTACACTTGATTTTGTTTAAAATATGCAATTCCCACGGAATTTCTTCTGTCAGTGAGCTTCATCAGTAGAGTACTGTGGTATGTTTGTTTTTTTTTTTTTCAAATTTACAACATGGAATTCATACACATTTTTATGAGATTTTGATAACAGCTTAGGAATATGCTGAAATGAGATTCGACTTTATTTCACATTGTAGATGAGCCAAATGCTGATGTTGCCAGTGCTGTTGTTGTTGTAGGGATTAACACTTGATTAATTGCTTGTTCATCACATGGATCAGGGAATTGTGGTTCATTTTCAGCTGAACACTCATAGATTCCATCAAATGGGTTCATATTAGTTGTAGCATTATTAATAAGATCTGTTGGGGATTTTTCATGTATTTCAGTAGACCATAATACTGTTTGTTGTGGCAACGTAATGGATTGAGACAAATTGTCCGAGGAATAAGAAGGATAGACAGTTGAGGGGAATAACTCCTGTGGTAATTTAAGAGAGTTACTCAAATTTTCAGGATAAACTGATTGGACAGAATCACTACCCAGTCGATATTTTCTCCATCCTTGATATGGATAGGCTATGGATGTTGTCAAACATGGTGATGATATAGGTTTGGTGTAGACCAGTCCAGAATTCTTTATCTCACTAGCATTGATGTTTTGATGTAAATAACAGTGATTATCGTTGAGGCATTTATTAAAATGGCACAAACTGTGAACATTCACATTTTTGCTGCCGTTGGTATCACATTCACAGTCGTTTTGGTCAGCACCACTATCGTCATTCGGATCACCATTAGTATTATTATATTCCTCATTAGTATTACTATGATTATCACATTTTGGTGTAGAGTATACTTTTGGATTGAAATGTGCGCATGAATTCAATCTATCCGCCATTGGTAAACAATAATTAGATGATTCAAACAAAGATTTTGTCCAATAATGATCAGATTTTGATAAATTATCTACCCCCAGTGTTTCATTACAATCGATTGAATGAAAATTTTGACTTATTTGCTCATCATTTCTGCTGAATGCGTTCAATTTTGCTGGATTCTGACCCAAATGGTGACTGTCTGTAGGCATTGCATAATAATCTTTAATATTTGTACGCCATGTCGGGTGATGATGATTTGAAGTCATAGTCACTTCGGTATCTTGTCTCAATTCACATGAGGCTTGTAAATCAGATTTCATGAAACAATGTTTATGATGGATAGTATTTTCCGGTGAATTACTACTACTAATACTAACTACTGATTTAATAATTGGACTGTTGGAATTACTATTTTCAAAACCTGATGATGAATCTATGGGGAGGTCATCTGAATGCATGAAATCTGTTTCACACGGTAAATTTTTCATCAGCATATCATGATGACAGTCTTCATAGAAATTCTAAAAAGAAAATCAAAAACAACGATAAAAAGAAAAGAAATTACTGAATGATGAAAATATAAATTCATCAATTTTGTGGGTTAGAGAACCATTGAAAACCAGCAGGGAGTACTGGGAAGCTGTTTTTTCCCGAGTTACAGACTCTTAATCAGTACTCAGTCGGCTCCAGATAGAGTCGCTACCCATACGTCCAAATTTCTCTCTTTTTTGATGGCATTAGGACCGGCTTGTGAACTAGGCGAAATCAGTGTGGAAGTCAGCTGCGCTCAGCATAAATTCGGATTTTCTTCACTAATATCAAGTCACGTCGTTTTTTTCTGTTATTCGGTTTGGTTCACGAAAACATTCCCACCGAACTTCGAACTCTTCTCAGTAGTTGTCTTCACTGGCTCGATACTCAAGATCAGAAGGGGACAAGAAATTCTCCCAGACAGCCAACAAACCAAGGCCGCATCGCCCTACAAACACTTTGAAAAAAATGGAAACCGATAGGACACACGCTGAGGATATCACTGAGTGATATCACGAAAGGAAGACGACGAGTTGGGAATAGGTCCAAGGGTGACGTGTAGGGTATCGTTAGGAGAGAAGAAGATGATGAGAGCTTACTGGCAGTCGTGGAAGCAGATAAAGAAGATTACAGAGAATGGGGTAGGATGGAGATATTCTGTTGAAGTCCTATGTTCCAGTCTGAACCTACGGGGAATAATAATAATACTTAGGGGTATAAATGGTCCAAGATGTTTATACAAAGCTTATACAACTGTCGACACTGAGAGAAATTCGTTTCATGCTGCTGACTACATATACATGGAACAATATTTTAAATAAAAAAGAGTCTTCAGGATAGATTGATTACATCACTTAAGTTCGTTGGAGGTCCAGTGGTAGAATAATCGCTAACACACACACGCCAAAGATCCAGGTACGATTCCTGGCCGCTCAATCTTATACCTGACGATATGCTCAAACTAAAAGAGGGAATCAAAACAAGATTTTGAGCGAACAATTGTTTTCGATAACTTCTTCTTCAGGCTCTACAGTTATAAATCCATGAATAATAGAGTACATATAGCCAATAAAGGCAAATTAAAATAATATCAGAAACTGTATTGGGGTGCATGTGTAAGTTGAGATGATAGTCCATTAGTTAACATAATCAATCAAATGTGTATAGGGTGTATAGTCAGAAAAATGTGATGAAGTGTGAATGAACAATTGGGTGATATAGTGCTGTTTTATAGTCAACAGAATACAAGTGTCTTTGGGGTGAAAGAAATGCGATAGTCACAAAATATATACAAACACACATTAACAAAGGGGACACTGAATGTGAGGGCTGACCGATAATGTTTAATGATAAAATAAAGAGGCTAAATAGTAAATTGTAATAAGATGTTACAGAGTTGGTAGGCTTAGTGTAAAATCACAAAGGTTGACAAAATTAAGGGTAACAATGAGGTGAAATAAACTGGGTGGAGAAATGGATAATAAATACATGATATCACAAAATGATAATAATGGTAATAATAATACGGAAAATTATGATCCTGGTGACCTTATAGTGGGCCAGGGTAGACAGAGGGAGTGAATAAGTTTTTTCTGTACACATAAGTCTGGTCTTTCTCTATTAAACTCTAAAGCCTCAGCTATGGCTAGGAGGCGTAATCGTGTGCCTTTGGGGAGATTGTTTGGTACTCGATACACAACTGTGAATGACTCTTCTACTTTGGTGCTGTGTTCGCTGTCCACTAGATGAGCCAGAATTGCACTATTTAATGATGTGGTCGCTCTTTTCCCAAGCCAGACCGGGATATGTTCACGAGTGCGTAAAGATAAATTCCTTTGGGTACGACCTATATATATATATATATATATATATATAGTGTCTATCGCATTTCTCTCACCCCAATGACACTTGTATTCTGTTGACTATAAACAGCACTATATCACCCAATTGTTCACTCGCACTTCATCACATTTTTCTGACTATGCGCCCTATACACATTTGATTGATTATGTTAACTAATGGACTATCATCTCAACTTACACATGCACCCCAATACGGTTCCTGATATTATTTTCATTATTTATTTATTTATTATAGTTTGATTCCACACCGTATTTTTGGTACAAGTATGGAATTTTCAGCATGTGATATCGGTAGCCCAATTTTGCAGGCCGACCATAGATATCGGGTGTGCGCTGGCAGGGGATCGAATCCCGGACCATGTGCATGGTCGACGAGAGTACTAACCACTGTGCCACCGACGCACATTTCATTTGCCTTTATTGGCTATATGTACCCTATTATTCATGGATTTATTTATAACTGTAGAGCCTGAAGAAGAAGTTATCAAAAACAATTGTTCGCTCAAAATCTTGTTTTGATTTAAAAGAGGGAAGGTTGGACATGGGACTAACGAAAACACTCAGTAAAAACAGCACCACCGTTACTAAGACTTCTAAATCTTCCAGTCGCATTTCCTACTCAGAACAAAACAGATAACAGTCTCAATTTCTCTTAAGATAGCGTATATATATATATATATATATATCATTCCTCTGCATTTCAAGTGGAGCATAGATCTGCAGACCATGAAGTTTCATTAGCGATTGTTTTGTTTTATTCTACGATACGGGTTTCTAGTCTCCTGTCCAAACCTTCCTAGTTTTTTTGGATTATTAAAGATGTTTGTATACTGGCCGAGGTTAGATAATAAATTGAAGTCAACTACAGAACCATTGAAAACCAGAGAGTATTGGACAGGTGCATTGTTCTAGTTTGGGACTCTTGAAGAGTGTGCAACACCCGCAGTCGCCAAGAATTGGAAACACAGACGAGTGACAGATTAAAGGATGTAGCTACCTGGAATTCTGGTGAGAAGTTGTGATTCTTTAACGTCCACTAAATCGTGTGTGAAGACAAATATGCACTAGTGACATTCATTGGCGGTTGCACCATGTATATATATATACATATTGAATTGTAAGGAGCTGGAATTCAGCACTCGGTCAGTGTATTCCGTCTCAGTGGCTGAATGGTTTGTGTGTTTGCCTCATTATATGAAGACCCAGGGTTCAACTTTTGATAGTGAAGTAATATCTGCGTACTACTGGAGAGTCCAGAACCAGAACGAGACAGCTACCCAGTACAGTTGGGAGGCTGTGTTGTTTCAACTAAAGAAGACACCAATTAAGATATCAAAACCAGAATTGGAAAGGTAAGACAGGTATTCATCACTCTGAAGTCAATGTGGAGATCTTCTGCAAACAGTCAGCATAAGCAGCGAAATTCGGGTTTCCAACACCAGTTTTAAGTCAGTTAGTGCTTCTATATGGGCCACAAAAATCTGCGCGTCACGAAAACCATTTCCATCAGGCTACTGCGGACTTTTATCAACGGCTTCCTTCGCTCTGCAGTCGAGGTCATATGACCAGAAAGGATTGGTACTAAGGGACTTTGGAAGGCAATGAACCAACAAGGAACCTATTGGAAATAGATTGGACACACGCTGAAGAGATAGCCTAGTGTCATCACGCAGCAGGCCCTATGGTGAAGCCAGGTTGGCTAAGAAGGTGGTATGGAGGAGATCGTGTGAGGAGGAGATACGAACTAATGGGCAGCTAATAAGCTCTACAGAGAACTAGACAAATGGGGATACGCTATTGAAACCATGTTTTTCACAAAGGAATAATAACCGAAACGTACCAAAGCAGATTCCGTTGCGCATCACTATGAATCACTTGAAAACTAAGAAATTAGTAATTTTATGTTTTGTTCGGGTTTGGTTTGAAAATGGTCAGAAGATGGATTCAGTCAAAAAGCAGAAGTTTTTATGGGAGTGAACATTTCATCATTTATGTATTATATTGTTATTATTCCCTCGGGTTCCAAGTGGAACATCGGGATTCAACAACACATCTCCACATTCTTCGATTTTCTGCTCTCCTCTTCAGCTGGCTAGCCACACGATTGCACATAATCTCTCATCTTCTCCTCCTCAAATGACCTCCTCCACGTCACTCTCCCACAGGCAATCCAATCGCCATGTGCTTCCCATTGGGATTCCAATCGAGTGATGAATGACCTGCATTGCGCACGATTTCATTCGACGGTCTCCTAAATGTATGCCTAGTCCATCCACCTCCATTTTCACCCACATATTTATTGAACAATCGGCTCTCACCTGTTGGTTTGTTCTCAGATAGGGTTTGTTGTTGCTATTTCTTTCTCTTTCTGGCTGGCTGGCCATTTGACCTTCAGTAGAGAGCCAGCCGGCGAAAATGGCAGCTGTTGATAAAAATCTGCAGCCTGTTGGAAATCCTCTTCGTTACACACTTAGTTTCTGAAGAAGTGACTGACTGACTGACTTCATATTTTTGTTGTAGATTCGAATCTTGTTTTTTATGTTGGCTGAAAGCAGTGCAGAAGATTGCCAAAGTGGTTTTCAGGTTGATGAAGGTGTATCTTGCGTTTCCGATTCTACCTGGCTGGCTGGCTGGCTTTGACATCTTCAACCTTTCCAACTCCCTGTGGTTGAAACCATGTTGGTTGTTGTTGTTGCTGTTGTTTGGTTGGTAATTTTCATCACCTCCGTCTTCTCTATGTTCACCTGCAGTCTTGTCTTCGCTGCCAGCCAGCCTCTTCAACCAGTTTGTTACACTTTGTCTGCCTGCAATTCTTTGAGTTTGTGTGACATTAGGCATATATCATTTGCGAAATCCAGATCTTCTAGAGTCTTCTAATTGGTTAATGCAGCACATTCCTGTCTCCTCGCTTCCCACAGCCTGATGCATAATCCAGTCAACCGAAATTAGGAATATCGTCATTGATAATAGGCAGTCAGCCTTGTCTTACTCCTGTATTCACTTCAATCGTCTCGCCAAGTCTTCCATTGTGGATCGTCTGACACGTGGCATTGTCATATAGCCAGTTGTTGAATGAAGTCGATAAAGTCTTCGGCATTGCATACCGTAGTGTTGAAGTAGTTACCAAATTACCTCTTGATCAACACTGTCCGTTGAGGGCCTTTTCGAAATCGATGAAGTTGAGATAACCGGTCAGAAATCCATTGACCACAGCCCTTTAACTCCCATTCCTGGCAACACTAGCAAATATTAATAATATTATCCGCACATTCCCATACACACGCACATACAAATGTTTCAAATGATTCAATTCTTACCTCTGATTGGTTGTTTAAATCACTTGTTTCTGATTTACATGTCATTGAATTTGTTGTTAAAAGTGAAACATCATGACCTTGATTGATTAATTTTTTAAATTTTGACCGCCTATTTTGAAACCATATTTTCACCTGCAAATAAATACAATACAAGTGAAAATGCTTCTTTTATTATATAGTTTATGGTGAAACAGTATTTAAATAATACCAAAAATATAAAAATATATTTATTCATTATGTCTGTCAGTGGTTCAGGGGTAGAATACTCACCATTCACGCACATCTATTCCGCGGTTCAACTCCCGGCTAACGAACTCCCTTTCCTCTCCCCTATCTGGTAATAAATCAGTAAAAGGATGAAGTTGATGGTGAGTCTAGCAACGCCACTCCATAAAAAACCATCATCACTGCTACCGAAACCTCAAAGGTCAAGCTTGAGGTCCTATCCTCCGCTAGGAACGCAAAAGAATGAATTCAAATAAAGCCCTGGAATCCAGGATGTGTATTCCACCGTATTTAGGACTAGTTAGATGCATCCCCCATTGAGTAATGTTATCGCCATTGGAACTCAAACCCTTCACTCATCATTTCAAACATCAAATCAGGTGCATCCTCCAAACGATCACTCCTAAATAGGACATAATGCCATTCACTTGATTTCACACCTAGCCACCATAAACCAGAATCTTACGACATCGTTGAAGGGTCTGTGCCAGGAGTTGTTATTGTCAAGTCAACCAAAATCGAGCATTTTGTACCATCATAATCAATTAATCAAATAAAAATTTAAATTAAACTAAACAATAATTATTTAATTCAATTTTAGGTTTTGACGTCGATTGATTGGACCGAAGTGCTCGGTCTCAGGTTGACATGTCGGTTTCTTTTGCAGATGCTTCGACGATGTCTGAGCATGTAATTAGAAGTTAATTGGTGGATGGTGACTAGCAGTGGAATCCAGGACAACCAACATTTCGTCCTACTTGGGACTCGTCATCTAGACGTAACTGCATTCCCCAGTGAGTGATGATTTTCCCACCGAGGCTCGAACTGAGTGCCAGTAGTTTCAAACACCAAAGCGTTATCCACTAAACCACTTGGGTCACGAGAGCCACCTCTTGTGCAACGAATCATATTAATTATTCAATTCAATTTTAGATTTTCCCGTCGACTGATTGGGCCGAGGTGCTCGGTCTCAGGTTACTGCTGGTGACGAGTTCGGTGACGAGTCCCGAATAGGACGAAATGCGTATCCTGGATTCTACTGCTAGTCATCACCCACCAATTGACTCCAAGTAAACAATAACTACTCATCGAGTCATTTATTTGACAAGACAGAACGATCCGAGCACTGAATAATTACTATCTACTTGTCATCTGTCCATTGTTAAACGACAAGCAGTATATCTATCCCAGATTTATTTAAATTTCAACTACTTTTTATTGTGGCGTGTACTACTGACAAGATTTATCAGTAGTACATAAAGAGACATTCGTCAGCATAAAAATATTAAATGGCAGAGAGGTAGATTTGATGTCAACGAGAGAAAATGAACCAGTATTGCGCAAGACTTGGTGGACACGAAAAGATGACAGAAAAACACAGTATGGAGAGCAGAAATAGTCCAACACGGAGGATCTGTACAAATGACGATTTTCAAATAAGGTGTACACAACTTCCCTGTATGTGTATATGATCAAGTCATGCATTGATCGAATTGCCACAATACGGATCATCATTGAACAAAGCTTGGAATGGCAGACACCTCTCTATCTCATCTTCATCGACTTTGAAAAGGCCTTCGACAGCGTCGATCGAGAGGTGATTTGGAAACTACTTCACTAATATGGGGTGCCACCGATAATTATACATCTCATCCAACAGTTGTACGACAATGCTGCATGTCAAGTAATCCACAAAAGGAGGAAAATTACGGAACCCTTCTAAGTGAGGACAGGAGTAAGACAAGCTGGCTGGCTGCCTACTATCGCCAATGATTTTCCTTATTGCAGTACATTGGATAATGCGACAAACAGCGGTGGGCAGTGAGGAAACAGGCATAAAATGGACTCACACAAAAACTTGGAGGATCTGGACTTCGCCGATGATATATGTCTGATTTCCCACAATCTGGAAGATATGCAAGTGAAAAGCAACAAGTCGTCGATAGAAGAAGCATCGAAGATTGGAAGGACTTCAGGTGAACATAGATAAAACAGAGGTGATGAAGGTTCCTGGCCAACACCACCAACATCCCTAACAACAATAGACAACAATCAGCATAAATGGGAGGAACCTGAAAGAAACAACCTCCTTTACCTATCTGGGAAGCATCGTTTCAACTACAGGGGGACGGAACTGACGAGGATATCAAAGCAAGAATCGGAAAAGCAAGACAAGCTTTCACTACTCTCAAGTCTGTGTGGAGGTCAACAGCACTCACCATCAAAAATAAGATCGAGATTTTCAAATCCAATGTGAAGTCAGTCAGTGCTACTATACGGATCAGAGACTTGGCGCGTCATAAAGAGCATCTGAAACAAACTACAGACCTTCATCAATAGCTGTCTTCGCTCAATACTCAAGATCAGATGGCCGGCTAGAAAAGATCAGCAATAGTGAGGGATCTCTGGGAGCGAACCAACCCACCAGGAACCGATTGTGAAACAAATAGGCAGGAAGAAATAGAGATGGATTGGCCATACTCTGAGAAAACAAACCATCAAGTGACATCACTAGACAAGCCATTGCTCGAGTGGAACTCGAAAGGTAAGCGGCGAGTTGGTCGTCAGTGCAAGGGTGACTTGGAAGAGGTCATGTGAAGAGGAGATGAAAACATGTGGACAGACTTGGAGCCAGGTGATGACTCTAGCAGAGAACCGAACGCAATGGAGACGCACGGCTGAAGCCCTATGTTCCTCTAGGAATTAAAGGAAACAATAATAATTATGTAATAATGTGTATATTAAATTCCCAATAGACATTCCACTACGAAGTCTCTTATCTTCTACCGTTAAACTACGTTTCCTTCACAATGTCTTATGCAGCAATGAACAGTTGTTTTACTGAACTATTACTGTAGAAGTACCAGTCAAAATCATGAGTTATAAATGTATAACTGTACATATTACTGGTTCATTTATATCAGTAATTGGATACCAGCCAGAAATCAACTTAACAATTTACAAATTAATTTGCAATTTCCATGATTCGAAGAGATAAAATCTCACCCTGTACTTTCCTTTGAAAACCAAAATAATCAGGTCATAATATATAATCTGGTTTATACTATAAGTGCTAATCAAGTTAGTAAGCATAGTTACATACATCTGTACACCACTTATCGAAATGAGTAACTGAATACAGCTGATACCAACCAGCCAGATGAAAGTGATCCCAAAACCGGAAGTCTATTTCTTTCGCTTAGGGCCGAGTTCATCAGTACTATACCAGGTTTGAAGCATCTCAGAAAGCTAAATGAGTTCAAACTATCCCCTCAAGTAGTTAGCCAGAAACTGGGTGGTATGAAGTGATTCGGTTCTATGAGTTGATTCAAATCGTATGTACCAATGATGAACTCAGCCGTGAACGAGCGAAACAACCCTCCTCTGTTTTCATCACGTCAGTCTGGCTAGCAAGTACTACTGGTTGAATAAAGTATAATTATATTTCAATGGTTTACACACAATGATAACTATTTTGTTATTGGTAATATTTCGAGCAAAATTACTGCCCGTGTTCACACCACTGTTGGAATTGTTTTATTCATACATTTATGATTTGTACTCATATACATATTGTTCATTTTGTTTTGTTCATTCATGTTTTTGTATTCAGAATTATATTCCAAGTTGTTGATAGTTGTACTGAGTCACCCTTGTTGCATGTATCCGGTGTGACTTTAATGAATATCGATTCTGTTATAAGTCTTTCTTTCCATTTGTTCAACTATTAGTTTTTAGAATACACACATTGTTCCAATCGATATTGTGGTTTTTGCCCCATTCATGTGCAGCTATCGATGAATTTTTTTCAAGATTCTTGTAGGCTTGTGTTCCTGTTGGTTGATTTTTGGTTAAGCGTTAATGTTCATTCACTCTTATTTTGAGTGATCTGGACAGTCAGCACAAGATATTTTGTAAATCAAGTTGTTTTTATCCATCATTTTTATGAGATCTTTCAGTTGATTTATTTTATTTTTGATTAGATTTGTCAGTTTAAAAGTTGTATGAATGCCGATATTTTTGAGGTTTCTTTGAATTGCCTCTGATGTACCATTTTTATATGGTATTGTGACTGCTTTTGTTTTTTTGCATTCTTCCATCTTGTTATTCTCCGGTTTTACTCTCTTTTTTATATTATCTTTTATAAATCCTTTTGGGTAGTTGTTTTCGAGTAGCATTTTGAATAGGACATTTATTTCTTTACATTGGTCCTCTGGGGTTGTTGTAAGTCTACGTATTCTATCTGCAAGACCTCATATTTATCCTCGTTTCACCGTGAGTGGATGAGCTGAGTGATAATCAAGGAATCTTCCAGAGTCTGTGGTTTTCCTATATGTCCTCATTTTTATGCTGCCATCTGTTATTCTTTGTATTTTGCAGTCAACTACTGGTTGATTTAAGTCGTATAATTTTATACAAATCTACTTTCTAACTAGATCGAAGCAATTTAAGTGATTGTTTATTGAATTTTAGATTTTCCCGTCGATTGATTGAACTGAAATGCTCGATCTCAGATTGACATATCGACTTCTCGTGTAGATGCTTCAACGATATCTGAGCACGTAATTAGAGGTTAATTGGTTCGAGCCTCGGTGGTGGGAAAATCATCACTGACTCACTGCGGGATGCAGGTACATCCAGCTGACGATTAGTACCAAATAGGACGAAATGTTGGTTGCCCTGGATTCCACTGCTAGTCACCATCCACCAGTTAACCTATAATTTAAGTGGATTTCTTGAATGACATTTAGGCCATCAGACGATGGTCACATATTGAAGTCTGAATCACTGTAGCATCCAAAAGGAAAGTGTACTGTCGAACTTCATATCCTCAAACTATGTAAATTTTGTAAATCGAGAACTATTCACTCTTAGATAAGTTATATTCGACACTTTTGCTATGTTAT